CCATGCCACGATGAATCCATGCACTCACATGACCAGACGCACCGAAAGTGACACCAGAGCCGCCCAGTCACATCAGGAAATCCCCCCCGTGCTAATGAGACATAATTAGCAATAATTACATCTCATTAGTGAATTATTGGCATTATACTCATTAGATTAGTTGGCCTGCTAATGAGGACGATTATGGCAATGATTGGTCAATTATTGGAGTAATAGTCTTGCACTAATCGAACGTTTGCGAGTGATTAGCCATACATTGATTCACGTTGTATACAAAATACTGTGTAATACACAAGTAACAACTATGACATCCGTACCAAAAGCAAATAGACTCAGACCGAACCATGGACAACATAGTCCACATCCATCAGATTGGGGATCGGCAGTGTCACCCTGCGCAGAGGGCAATCTGCGCGCTGAGCGTAGCGATCGCTGTCGAAGCTGAGCACTGAGCCCGCATATGAGCTGTGCGGACTGCGTGGGCGGGCTTGGGCGCAGTAGCGGTGCGAAGCTGCTTGTGGGGTCCTGGCCAGGGATGGAGTAGCTGTGTGCATGCGCGCTACCTTGTGCACCATAGCCGATGCTGCTGCTCACGCGGTGGTCGGTGCGGGAGTGTGCGGGCAGTGGGCTTACCTGGAAAGGCGCGAGGGTGGTGGCAGAGCCAGAGACGGGGTTGGATGGATGGATGGGGCTCTGAGATGGCGCGGCAAGGCGGCTGCACAAGAAGGATGGCGCGGCCCTCTCGCTTGACAGCGAGAAGGCCGCGTGCGGCGCCTTGAGGGTGAGAGGGGCTGCCTCGCTATTGAGCGAGACGGCGGCACAGCAGGGCGGCCGTGCAAAGAGGGCGGTGCGGCCCTCTTGCTGTCGAGCGAGAAGGCCGCCTCACCGCGCAGCGCAGCACAACCCTCTCGCTATTGAACGAGATGGTGGCGCAGCGCAGCGGCTGTGCAAGGAGAATAGGGAGGCCGTCTCGCTATTGAGAGAGAGAGCGGCACGGGTGAGGCGGAAGAGACCCGTCGTATTCTCCTTCTATCTGCATGGTGTCTTGTCTTTGCATGGCTCCTCTTTTCTCTTCGAGACGAGGCTCTGCACATGCAGCGCTCTTCTCTCGACATACTGTTCTCAGCGGAAACACGCGCAAATCGTCGAACGTGGGATTTATCGCATGAAGTGGAGCTTCGATCGACGCCCGACCTCCCAAGTCCTTGGATTCTAATCTGGACGCTTTCTTCACTCATGCTCTCGCTCTCTAAAAATTGACCCTTTGACTTGCCAATCCCGCGTCTTTGGCCTTGATAGCAGGTATGATCGACGCTGCCACTGATGTCCGTGCAGCTGAGGATCTGCGGGGAGGTGAATACCTGTACTATTATTGCAGTCATCTCTGAGTCGGTGACGCAGTCTAGGACGGCATCGTGGGAGTATGGCCCTCCGAAGATTGAGATGAGCCAATATATTGACTGGGCATACAACTGACGGTGGAGTCGCGCCGGACGATGTCCGGGTGCACGCAGCGCTGTAGCACCCGGCGTCAGCCGGTTCTCGTCATACATAAGAATGGATACATTTGGCCGGATCCGTACCGAGGCTGCTACGTACACACCGTCGGTGGTCGCAGTCCTCCGCGCGCTTCATGGACATCTACCTCTCGTCCTTGAGCTCTATGTGGTTCAGATCATTGCTCAGTGGCGGCTAGTTTGTGGTGCACGAACTAGTCTCGCTTGCACCCCAACTAGCCTTGTGCTTGCTCAGATGCGCTTCGCAACAAAGTTTGCTAGAAAGGCCCTCTGTACGCATGGTTGTTGACCACGTCTGACCCCGTCAATGACGAGAGCCAGGGCATGGGATGAATTTTGGACCTCGACGTACTACCTCAGAACTTGTCAGAACTGTGGACACAACTAGTATGATTGTGTTACGCTCATAGGCTTTCCCCCACATGCAAACCTCGTTTACATCCACGACATTGTGACCCATTACGGACGTCAATCACCGAGCGGGTTGAGAACGTAAGCATGCGACATCGTAGACAGTTGTACTAT